TCTATTAATACTTGTTTTATTAATAGTAATATATGCAATCAATTATCCGAGTACAATATAATATGATGAATGGACATGGATATACTGAAAAATATTAATATTAAATATAATCAATTCATAAATAGAACATTTATACAAATTTCTTTGAAAGATTTAACTTTCTCTAACATAATGGCATCAAATATAATAATAGCAAATTAAAAACAATAGTAGCAGTAGCTGTGGCAGTAGCTGTAGAACAATAATAAGATGACAGTGATAATGGTAATGGTAATATAGGAATAAACTCTCGTGTATATATATTTATTACGCATTAAATTTTTTGTTCGTTGTGATCAATGTTACACATACCATATAAATCTTGATTTTCCCTAAAATTTCTAATTTCGGTAAAAATCTAAATTTTATTTTGTCACATTTTATATCCAATAAAATCAAACTTCCACCATGCTATGTGAATCACGATAAGTCGGTCTCACGTGATATCTCATTATGTGAAGGGTCATCATTACTGTTTTAGTAGATTTAATATTTTTTATATTTCGTCATTAGCAAAATGATTAAAAAAAACTATTTTTATTGTTCATTTTTATGTATTATTTACCATCTTATTTGATAGTTTAGAAGAAGAGAGCATTCTCACTTGTGAACTACATTTATATTTTATTACTTCCATCATTTGATGATTTTATCATCTCAGCAGTCGAATCATCGATTGGATTGTATCATTTAATATTTTTTATCATTGATTGTATCTATACATGGGATGGTAATTGCCTAATTACCGTGAATACGTATTATAGTAATTAATTACCACTTTCTCTCTTTAAAAACGTAATTACGAAATTAATTACGGGTGACGAAACTAATTACGTATAACAACGAGTTAATTATTGGAAATATCATATTACAAGTCACTCCCGTTATAACGACACTCTCCGTGCAAGCAGAAAATGTCAGTATAATGAGATTGTCATTATAACGGGAGTTAATATAAAAGTCATGTGATTTTATCAGGAAATTAAAACTTACGCCGGCTCAAATTGAATTTTCAAAAGCCACATGGAAAGAAAGGGCGGTGAATAGTCGGCCCAACCAATCTGATATAAATCAGATATGGGAACAATAGCAATGTTGTTGATAATGATGATAATAATAAGTTAGGAAAAGATGATCAGGATGAAGATGGGTAATTATTTGTTTATGTTTTTTTATCTGTTATTTTATAAATGTAATTGATAATATAAATTTAATAAACATAATAATACAACTACATCGTTAAAAAAAAAAAAAAAAAATTTGAATTTTCAAAATAAAATATTATCAAATAGTAAAATTAATCATTTGCAAAATGTTTAATAATATTTTATGTCAGGTCAGTACTTGTTTGCAGTTAATCGTTTTTGTTAATTGGCTTAGAAAAAGTTATTTTGAAAATACGTTTTTCATACATTTTTAATTTAATTATAAAATGACTTAAAGGTAACCCATTTTGGCAAAACCTTAATTAATAATAGCAACGTTGAAACATTTAAATTAGTTTCGATTCTGATGGTTACTAAACCTCTAGGTTTTGCCCATGTTGACTTTTGTCAACAATATAACAACTAGAATAAATAAATAGATAGATAATAAAAACATAAATGTTAAATTCAACTTCAGGGCACGTGACCTTTAAGTTGATTGGCAATAAACAACTTCAACAGTTAATTAATCAAACCAAAGAAAGGCGTTTATGCAATTACTGAAAATATTGTATTAAATTACTTTTGTTATTACATAAATTATATTTGTGAGCCTATTTGACATTAAATTATTTAATCCATTAATAACATCCTGTAAAGTTCATTCTTAATTACGATTTCATTTGCTTAAAATTTTTTATTTTTTTGAAGGAAGGATCATTTTATTATCAGTTATTTTTCATCCATGATTAGAGTCTAACTAAATGATAATACTTACTCATTTCTATTAGTTCTTGACATTTTTTTTTAAAAAAATAATATGGAACGCAAAAATTTTAAGGGAGTACTTATTTTTTTTTTTGGAAGGCACTCTCCACTCATTAATGAACAAAGAAGTATTATTTGGTATGGTTCCGAAAGAAGATATGCTATTTGTTAGTAGTCAGAAATATTTTTTTTGTATTAAATGTGCTAATTTTTTTTTCTACATAAAATAGCAACATTATAGTGAAATGAGAGATTGGAACGTGAAATGAAATTTATCCTGTCTTCTACATTATATAGTAATGGGTAATTATAAGTTTCCCTACCATAATAAACAAATGGTTAGTATATCCGTTTTGCATAATCCTCATTAACATTAATTAATTGTAAGGAGTGTCAAAGCAACATAACTATTAAAGATCTCAATCTGGGGAACACCAAAAAACAATCTATTTGATTATTGGAAAGTTACAGATGTTTGAATATTAAACAAATATTTAAAACATTCCATCTTCCTAGTGTACACAAGGCTAAACTGACCTCATCCCCCGATAATACAACAGTGCATTAAATTTCAGGGGGGTAGTATGACTGGAATTTAAATTACATTATTGTCTAAAGCCTACAAACTAAATGGTGGTGGAAAATACAGATAAATTCATCATTAATTATTATTCTTTCATCTAAAAATTATTTTTCTTGAAACAGGCTAATACAAGTGATGACAAAACATTGACAAGCAATGAAGAAATTTCAAAATTAAAAGTAAATGCAAAAGCCAATCCACCACCTCATGTGGATTCTGTGAGCCTTAATGAATGGTTTAGTTCAATATACAAAATATGTAAGACTATGATTGTAATTTTAAATACTTGATTTATTCATTTGATTCGTATTATACCTTTTTTCTTAGAATGATGTAAATTCTACTACTACTACTAATAATAATAATAATAATAATAATAATAATAATAATAATAACAACAACAACAATAATAATAATCATAATCATAATAATTCAATGATTTTCATAGATGATAAGAGAAAACATAAAAATCCTAACGATGCTACAAGCACGAATAAAAAACTTCGTAAGCAGTAAATAATAATAAATAATGAAATAATAATAATAATAATAATAATAATAATAATAATAATAATAATAATAATAATAATAATAATAATAATTCAATTATTTTAATATGTGATGAAAGAAAACACAAAACCGATGCTCATAGCACAAGAACGAATAAAAAACTTCGTTCGAAATAGTAAAAAAAATGATTTGCTGGAAAATTTTCTCAATGCAATTAGGAATAATGATGGTTTCAAAGAATAAATAACTGTTATCAAGTATTTTTGTGGGAGAGCAAATGTAATAAATGATAACATATTTTAATTGTATGGAATCAGATGAATGGCACTATAAACTAGCGAATATTTTTGGTTGATATCAAGAATATTTGTTATTCAGATGGTCGAAACCGATGAATTTAGATCCAAAGATCAAAGTCGAAACTTTATCTCTTCACCTCAAACCCCCCTTTACTTCGACTGTTTATATATGTTAACAAATTATTGTCAAACTTTGTCTGTTTTCCCTACTTTGTATAGATATCCAAACATTATCTGGTTCACCAGACATAATCTCTATATATAGTAAGTAATAGACTAATACATATATATATAGGGATAGGTTGGGGGTGTCATACAAGTAGATCAACAAATCTAATATAGCTGATAAACGCAAATCAACGCGATGTAAATTTAATTTTTAAGATCCTGATGTTAGTAAAAGTTTTTGTAGTAGAGGAAGCAATCACTTTCACATACTGGAATTCACGGGTTTCAATTACATCAAATACTATAGTAAAAAGCCAAAGAATAGTCCAATAAACAGTCCACAAAAGATTCATTCACAAGTATTTGTGGTTTTATTTTTTTATGATATTGATTTTGTAAAGTAGTAATAAAAATTATGGCTATGATTTCTTTTTTTAATATTGTTATATAGTAAAAAATTTTTATTTGAATTTTTAAAATTTTCTTCCCTATTCATATTTTTTTTGCAAATTGAACAAAAACGTTTTATTGGAGACAACCTTTCCAAGTTTGGTAATTTCCACCAACATTGCATTTTCTAATATATAGTAAAAATTTTTACTATAAGATTTGATCCAGCTGCGGCAGTAACCTATATAGTTTTAATGCGAATTCTCAGTGACACAACATAAAAAAAAAATGAATTCCAAGAAATCAAAGAAATCAAAAAAATCAAAAAAATCGTCAACATCAACAACCATTACTACCTCAGTTTTACTAGGATTTCCTGATGGTAATATACAATCAGGCCAAGATAATGATGTATATACTACCAAAATTGGTGGGAGACCAATTTGGTTAGATGAGCGTTTTCCATTATCGCGTGATTTGGTAATGTGTAAAAACTGCGGAAGAGAAATGGTTCTATTGTTTCAAGGTTATATACCTTTGCCTCTATCACCTTATGATCGTGTAATTTATGTTTGGGGATGTAATCAACAAAATTGTATGAAACGTGATGGAAGGTAATATTATTTATTAGTGATTAGGTTGGTAGTGATTATTAATTCTTTTTACATTGTAATATTTAATAAATAATAATTAAATGTTAAAAATTCTATAAAGTTTTAAGGCTGTTAGGGCTCATCGATTAAACGAAGAATTCGTTAAATATCTCAACAGCAACAATAAAAATAACAATGTTAATAATGATAATAAAATATCGAGCTCTGATGATAATCATGGAAATAATTCATTTGTCAAGGTAAATTTTATTGTTTTAAAAAAAATTTGTAAATTATAGTTACAATTATCTCTCACGCAAAAATATAAATTTTTTAAAAGTTGGGTGATTTAATATTCAATTCATCAGATGAAATATTTGGAGACATGGTAGGTAAATACATTGATTTATATCGTTGGATATTTATTAAATATACCTCACCTTTTATATTGAACCTTTGTTATAGATCTCATCCTCATCATCGTTACCTGGCGATATTAATAAAGAAAAAGAAGACGATGTTGATACAAACTTATCAATTGAACTTGAATCTAAAATAAACATAAGTTCTAATTCTGAAAATCATTCATCAGAAGGTAAATTATAAATTTACACTATGATTATTTAAAATTATATTATTCCTAAACAATTATTTGCATGTGAAAAGGTTCATCATCGTCGTCGTCGTCATGGCCGATTAACATACCAATATTTCCAGCACAATATGTTTATATAACAGAAGAATACTTGGATGATGATGACGATTATATAATTCTAAAGAAATATGAAAAATATTTAAAAATCAATGAAAGAGATTACAATCATGAACTAGAGGGGGATAATAATGAATCAGAGTGGATTGGAGAGAAATACGAGAAAGCAGTATTACCGAAAGGATATGACAAAGTATTCAAAATATTCCTGGATCGCGTCAACCAATGGCCTAATCAATGCGTGAGGTAAATATTTGGATATTTATGGATTTTATTTTTTATCGGCATAATAAATTATAAATTTTTTTTTATCTCTTTTCTAAAAAAAAAGATATGAATTTGGAGGTCAACCACTACTATATAATCAGAATGATTCAACAGCCAAATTATTATTGTCACCAATAACAACAGATAATAAGTGTAACACATCATTTGTAAAACAATTAAAAACTTCAACGAATTTATTGCCAGTTTGCCCAAATTGTGGAGCAAAGCGCGTATTTGAATTTCAGTTAATGCCAAGTATTCTAAGTATTCTACCAGTCAATGATATTATTATTAATAGTGAAGAGGGTAACAATGAAATTAATGATAATAATGAAATTAATGACGACAATAAACATGATAATAATATGAATCAATTTAATATTAGTATGGGAATGGAATGGGGCACAATAATGATCTTTAGTTGTGAGAAAGATTGTAGCAAAGTTGAAAAAGATCAAGTGTTATACTATGAAGAAATTGTCCTGGTACAATATGAATTGTAATAAAGATAAATTTCCAAAATGTGATGTTCGTGTAACTTCATATGATATTTTATAACTGTATTTGTCCCATGTTTGTACATGGTATGACACAAACAATGCTGCACTTTCAAAATGACGTACAATGATGTAATTATCTCTAAATTAAGAAGTCATCTTTTTTTCGATTTTTTATATTTATTATTATTATATGAAATTCACTAATGAAAACGTGGTGATTGGAAGGAAGGAAATAAACGTGGAAATAATTTATTTATACATATAAAGTTATTGTACAAATATTACGTATATAATTAATTGATTTACATGTAAATATTTATGCATGATAATTGGGGTTGTTACATATTAATATTACGAACTTCGCCTTTCGATATTTAATATTGTTCACTATACCTTCTGTGAATAAAGATTTGCAAGTATTACAATTTAACCTTATATGGTCTATAATTAATGAATCTTCGGATATATTATCCATAACAAATTCTTCCCGATCTGTTGGTGAACAAGTTTTGTGACCGCCGCCCCCTTAGAATCCGGAACAACCCATAACGCGTGAGAATTGTGGATTTTAGATCATTCACACCAGCGCAATTGCTGTCATTATTTATAAAGCTACTCTTTTTTTGGGCATTGTTTTTTGTAATACATGTCTTGGCTGTAACGCCATACTACGGCATAAAATCTACCATTGTACACTTGTGACAATTTTTTTGGGAAATCAACCGCGTCAATCAACGTTCCGTTCTAAAAAAAATTTGTCGGTTTGACGATTAACATGTATGAATAGATTTGCAGAAAATATCAATATTATTTTGTAAAAAATGGTGTAATAGATTTCTCAATCACCGTACTCGTTGGGTTTTAATATTTAAATCATTGTGATCATTGTGTGACTTGCTTAACCCTTGTAATAGTAATTAATTTTCTTGACATCATCAAACATCAATAAATGTTCATTCATTGTTAATACACACCCCCCAATCAAGAATTATAAAATAATAATAATAAAAATAAATAATAAATATATATTTATAAAAAATAATAAGTATTAAAAAAAAATTTTTTTTTTATTAGTACAATAATTACAAGTTTTAACACTTCTCAAAACTTTTTTTGAAAAAATTAAAAAAAACCATTCTGAAATAATTGATTGATTGATATAATGAGAAAACTAAAAAATTTATTAAAATTTAATTATAAAAGGTTTGATTTTTTTATACCAAAAAGTATATTAAATCAAGGTATTTATTTATTATTTATATTTAATTAATTGATAATTAATTATATAGCAAAATATCATTTCTATATATATTTTCATCTCTTTAATTTCGTTCGTTCGTTTGCTCCTTCGCTTGTTCCTTCCTTCCTCTCAATTCATACTGCCATCTATTTTTATCGCTATTTAGATCAAAATAATGATTATTCGGCAAAACGTAAAATATTACAAGCACGCGCAGTGATCGCAATCACAATATCTGCACTGGTGGTGTTGAGTATACAGTTATTGATAGATCTGTATTTATCATTTTGGGAAAACCTAAAGAATCATGACGATAGCAATACTAATATAATTAAATCGATTAAACTTACGGTTATTTCTTGGCCAATATCTTTGACTGGACTTATAATTTATTCTGGTAAATTATGATTGATTGATTGATTAATGGATTGATTAATTACTCGACGATGATAGAATCTGAATAATAATATTTCACAAAGTGAATTAATCAATATTTACTTTTTATTCGCACGTGAAATCATAGGTTTATTGTGTTTATTGCCGACTGAAAAAATAACTATATCACAAGTTGCAAGAATTGGAATCTGTTTTTTCTTGTCGATTTCTGCTTATATTTCATGTTTAGGACATCGTAATATCATTTAATACAATGTTGATAAATTAGTGTGAACCAACCATTAACGATCCTTTTTAAAAATAGCATTCTATTCTTTAAGTCACGCAAATCTATTTGCCGTCCCTCCTTTCGGGTAAGGATCAATAATTGGCACTATCAAATATAATCAACAGCAATAACAACAACAACAATAATCTTTTATATTTAGATATATTTTTGTTTCAAAAGGTTTTGCTAAACAAACAACAATAGCAGTTATCATAATGTATTTAATTGCTTTTGTACGGTAATTGTCAAACAATTAATTAATTAATTAATTGATATATTTATTTTTCGCGTACCATAATTAACTTTAATATTAGATCAATAGGGAAAGAATCACTTCCACTATCGTTTTATTATAGTGGTTCGGTTTTATGTGACATCTATCTATTATGTTTTATTTATTTTCTATTAGTAAGTGTAATAAATATATATTAAGAAAAATTTTATTCTAGATTTCTAAATTCTTAGTTACGTGTGTGATTTTTTGATGTTTAGGTTGCTTATGATCATGAATATCAATCTAACGAAGAAAAAATGTTGAAATCTTTAAATGAGGTAAATGTTAAATATTTTTTGGTAAAAATATTATATCAACATACATTTCTAATTTAATCTAATGGATGATGAATGAACGAACGAATGATAGGCTAAATCTGCAACAGATGCTAAATCGATGTTCATCTCAAATGTTAGTCATGGTAATGATGCAATGATCATATTTTTGGATTTTTTGACATTCTTTATTTTTATTTTGAAAAAAAAACCTAATAATAACAACCTTTTATGCAACAAACATATAATATTTATGATCTTAATATATTTGAGAATTAAGAATTAAGAACAGTGAGTGATATTTATTATGATCGTCAATAATATTAATATTAATATATTTATGTATTAATATCACATCAATTAATTATTGTTACCAATAAATCATTAAGCCATTGCATGGTAAGTTCCGTCTATAATAATAATAATAATATTGTATATTATTATTGCTAATTTTAATATTTTTCTAAATAATAATGATAATAATAATAATAAAGGAATTCTCGCTACTGTTGAAATTTTGGCAAAGACACATTTAAATGAGACACAACGTGCTCTGTTAGGTTCAATAGAAAGTTGCGGAAAGAATCTTATTTTGGTAATTAGTCATTTATTTATTATTTTTCTGGAAAGATTGTTAAGCAACTTGTGTTATTTCTATTATTAAAATAAAATATAGGTGGTAAATCAAGTATTAACATTTGCAAAAGTTGAACATGGGAAATTTTCATTGGTAAATAATAATAATAACTTATTTTTATAATTAGGATTTTTCTTAAACTTGTTAATTGTTATTATTATTTTTTTTAATAGGAAAACACCATATTTGATTTATTTACATTTATCCAGGGAGTGGGAGATGGTATTATTCACCCATTCTTCATAAATATAAAATTGCATATATTTATAATATTTAACTTTACATTTTAAATCTTACAAAACTATAAAATAATTTTAGATTTAGCACCAATACCAGATATGAAAAAACTTGATTTTGTAGTTTATGCAGATATTAATCCTTTGCATAGATTCCTTGTTGGCGATGTTGGAGCTTTACGTCAGATAATCTTAAATGTAACGACAACTTATTTAGTTATTATTTTGATTTTTGCAAAAATATTAATTTTGAATCATCTAATTATACGTGTATTTTTTCTATTAATTAGCTTTTAGGAAATGCGGTAAACATTTTTTCTTCATTTCATTTTTTTTAAAATAAAGGATTTATTTGTCATTTGTTTATTTATAAAAATTCTATAAAATAAATAGTTGAAATTTACTACTAAAGGTCGAATTGAATTAAGAGCAACCGAATTAAAAGAGTCTGCTGATGATCAAAAATTTGAATTACAAACTAACACACTAAAATCGGCATCTTCGGAACCTAGTAATAATATTGCTGGCATTAGCAGCAATGTTCCTGGTAGTAGTAAAAAACATAGTAAAGAAAAATTAAAGCCATCATTACCAAAAGCGAAATTTCTTATTGAAGTTTATGACACTGGACGTGGCATTTCTCCTGAATTTATTGATCATATGTATCAACCTTTCACTCAGGTAAAATTTGAAACATGCACATTTTTTTGCTAGATAGTACAATATTAATTCATAATATTATTATATTATGATTATTCAGGAGAATTCATCTTTAACTAGGAGATTTGAGGGAACAGGTTTGGGACTTAGCATTGTTAAAGGTATTTTATTAACATTGTTAATCGTTAATATATATATATAAGAGTTTTTTTTAACAATATTATATTTAGGATTATTGGATATGATGAATAGTAAGTTAGATGTTGAATCGATTTTAGGAAAAGGTAGTAGATTTTCATTCTTATTGGAAATGCCAGTTTCACAAATTTATATAGACAATATATCACCAACAACACTACCGTTTGACCTACAAAATTTGAGAATGCCTGAATTAGAACAACAAAGGCTTATCAAAGAACTCAAATCAATTTCATTAGTAATATTTGATAAAAATAATTTTTTGCTCGCACAAAAAGTCGAAGAGTCGTTGATGCGATGGGGATTCGTGTATAACATTTGTGATGATAGAGAACATTTAAGAAATTATTGTCGCCGCAACAACGATAATGACAATAGGGAGAATGGTGATGTTATAATATTTAATGATAATCTTGAAGATTTGAAATGGTATTTTGAGAATATTTACAATAGTAGTAATGATAATGGGAATTACAATAATGAAATTATTGATGATGATAATCACGACTTTGACAACAATGATAAAGATGACCAAAAATTGAAAATGAAAATAAAAATGAAAATGGAAAGAAATTTGGCGGTGAAGAAGATGGCGATGAAAATGAAGATTAAAAAACATCAAAGGATAATATTTTATACAACCATTAGTTCTTATCAATCAGTTGAAAATGTTTTAAATGATTATGAATCACAATCGGTGGTACTTGTTGTAACTAAAGTAATGTATCTAAAGAAGGACAAGGAGAAGATCTTTATTATTTATCTATTTATTTTAACTAATTAATTAATTATTTGATTTTTAGCCGGTTGGTCGTATGAAATTCTTTACGGCAATATTAAAAGCTTCCGAGTCGCTGAAATCACCACTAGAAAAGATGTTTACAACGAGTACTCTAAGAAGTCATGATAAGAGATACTCAACATTTGAAGTAGGACCAGGTGGTGAAATATTATTCATACCAAATACTATGGAACTTGCAAGAATCGCATCTCAAACTGATGAAGGTACACCAAGTTCTGAAATATCAGAGCCAGATATTTATATACCATCACCGATAACTACTACTACTGAAGCTACTGATAGGAATAATAATATACTGTGGCAAAAACAAAAAACAACTGCAGGTGATTCCACCACTACTATTACTGGTAATGATGTTCTTAATAAGAAAGAGCCGGAGAAAGAGAAGAAGAAGAGAGATCCTAGTAAAGATTTTTCTTTTCTAATAGTTGAGGTAATTAACTAATATGTATTTTTATTTTTAAAATAATAATAATAATAAATAATTGAGATCATGTAGGATAATAATGTCAACGCAATGCTATCGAGTATGATGTTAAAACAACATGGCTATCGAAAATATGAAACAGCTAACAATGGGCTTGAAGGTAATTTATATAATTTATAATTTATTGAGGGAAAGAAAAGATATGTTAATGTTGGCGAAAGGATTTAATAATCAATATCTTAAATTTTTTTTTTTAGCTGTTAAAAAATTTTATAATAAACATTATGACATAATATTTATGGTAAAATTTTTTCTTTATATTTTATTTTTTCTTTTGAGGAAGATGAAACTAATATTCTTTATTATTATTAATTTATATATATATGCGTGTAAATAGGATATTCAAATGCCAATATGTGACGGAGTAAGTTATTAAAAAAACTTTTTTCCTAAAAAAAAAAAATCAATCAAATCCATCATCATTAATAATACCTTTTCTTTCTCTAAAATAAAAAAAAAAAGATCGAGGCTACAAAAGAAGTAAGCTTTTTTTTTAATTTATTTTTTGATTTTTTATACGCGGGTAAAAAAGAGAAAAATGCATATAGATATAATTTAATTAATAATAGATACGAAAAATAGAAAAGGGAGAAGAATCATATTTGATAAATCGAAAAGATAATCTCGAACCTTTTTCTTCCACGAATAATAATAATGGCAATAATGAAGTAAAAATATTAGGAAAAGGTAATGTTAATGAATATAGGGGATGACGCAAATAAATATTTTTAATATTAAAAATAAAACTTATTTAAAGGAGATGGAAATAGTGAGGTGAAAAGAGCAGCACCAAAACGAAAAAGGAAAGCAATTATTGTTGCAATGACGGGACTTGCTTCAGATGTATGTATATTATGTATTATAAATCTAATTAATAACAGATACTAACTAATGATCTTTCCTTCAATAATGATGATGGGTAATATAGGCAGATATTAAATTATCGGTATAATCAATTTTTATTATAAATTTGTAATAATAATAATAATAATAATAATAATTTATTTTTATTATAATAATAATGATTATTATTATTTATTATTATTATTTAAAAAAAAATTTTTTATAGAATAAGTTATTAATATTTTTTTGTATATTGTTAATATTAATATTATAATAATTATATAATTATAATAATAATAATAATAATAATAATAATAACAATAACAACAATAATAAAAATAGGAAATGGCTGGGTGTAATGAGCTTTTAACAAAGTATGTAGATTAATTTCTTTTAATCAATTACATAAATAACTAATGTTCTAAAAATGATTTTTTCTTCTTTGATTGATTATAGACCTGTGCCAATGAAAACTCTTAAAGATCGAGTAGATTATTGGGTGAAACGAATTATGGATGATGAAAAGGATAAAGGCAAGGAAGAAGAGATGAGAAATAAAGATAAAGATAAAAATAAAAATAAGGATAACGAAAGGGAAAAAGAAACATAGTAAAAGAGAATGTTGACTGCAACACTATCATCAAGAATCAAATGGTGGTGATAGTGTCAATGGTAATAGTTTAGTTAGCGAAGGTATTAGTAGTAGTAGCAGTGGGAAATAGTAGTAGTAAGTGAAGGTGGCGGTGCTGGTGGTACCAGTAAATATGAAGCATCATTGTTTTTACTTATTTTTACTTATATTTAATTGCTAATTTAATTTCAATCTTTTTCTTTCTTAATAATAATAATTAGTGGAAGAATGTTAATTAATTAATTAATTAGATTTAGATTAGATGTACATAATAAAAAATATTTCGTGAATAAAATAAGCTAATTAACAAACAGATAATAATAACACGCAATCATTTACACAATTATTGACATATACATACGCAAAATATTATTTATTTATTAAATAAGCTATCAAACATATTTCAATAATCTTCATAAAAATATATAATATATAAATGATTATTGAATGGTAACTACTTGATCATTCTCAATATCCTCAATGTGTTCAGATGCAGCAGCAAATGATTCGGCTGAAAAAGAATCTATGAATTTACGTGTGTGAAAATGCGTAAGAATCCGTCGAAGCTAAAATAAAATATAACAAATCATAAATAATATCAATCAATTAAAATGCTTACGAGCTGTATTATCTGGAATGGTGTACATTAAAGTTAATCCTGTTAATTTGGTTCTACCAGTAATTTGACCTCCTACCAAGCATGTAATAATAATCGTAATAAATAAATATTTATTGTTTTGTTTCTACAATAATTAATATTAGAAAAGGTTACCTTGGGCTTTGATTTGTTCTTCCACTTTATTGACAACCTCTTCTGGTGTACCTTTCTTGAATCTCATAATTTTCTTACCTATGGAATTACAAGTATTTTCATTGTTTGATTAACCAACACAAAACACAAATATAATTCATTCGTCATATTTATTGATTCATTTTTTTACCCATTTTTTTTAATGCGTTGTTATAAATCGTTAGAAAAATAATATATATTTTTATTTTTTTTAAATTATAAAAATTAGAAGGATAAAAAAGGGGAAGGAATAATTCCTATGGTTTTTATATCTGCTGTTATTTATTAATTATACTAAAATTATACTAACTATTACTCGATTTGAGATTTGAAGTCGTCATAATAACAAATTGATATATTCTGGGCCTAATTAAATCAAAATCAAGTAAGGCACGTACATGCATAATGCTGGTCGATATAAAAAAATCACCATTTTAACCAAAACATTAATATTAATAAAAAAAAATAAAGGTTGATGTTTTTTTAAAAGAATAACCAAACATGCTAGAGCAAAAGTTTTATTCGATAAGGTCTTCTTGAACCATAATAATAATGTTGCAAAGGATTTTTTAAATTTTGTTAATAATAAACAAAAAAGCTATAAAAGTTAATAAAAATCCGCATATATATCAATAAATAATAATAATAAGGAAAATAATAATTAGATTAGATTTAGATTGTATGACGAGCTGAACAGGTCAAAAGATTAAGTAAATGTCACAATTAATTGTAACATGTGGGGGAACCGTTTACTCAAACCACATTTTGTCAGAAATCACCCCATGTAACAACAATAGGGGTGTTCAAAGTTGTTCCGTTCCTTGTTTCCTGTTCCTTGTTACACGGTCAAAATTAAATTTTATTGGCTGATCAGAAGGAACGCTTCCACTTCCAAATTTGGAAACGATTTTTAAATAAAAAATAAAAAATAAAAAAATAAAAACAAGAAAACGAGAATATCATAAAATAGCTTCTACTAATAATGTACAACAGCCTCGTCCAGTTCAAAGAGTAGCTTCTACTAATGACATGCAACAACAACAAAGCATTTATCCGGTTCAGTAACTTCTACTAATAATAATGATGTGTAACAACAAAACTTTCATCAAATTCATCCAATTCAGTTATTTCTTGGAATAGATTTAGAAACAATGCCTCTTCAATTCTTTCACGAGTTGACATCATTTTTAAAAAAAACGCGTAAATTTTATTGTGTAGTTCAGTCCCAAATATAGAAGTTATGGAAACAACTAGGAAATTTCTGATACTTATTTCCATTACCTAATAAGGTATTGTACAACAAGGAACAGGAACGGAACAACTTTGAACACCCCTATTGTCACTATTATTTGAAGGTAAACAAATATTTGAAATTTGCATTTTTTTATTGTTCATAAATTTTTTCCAAAAAAAAAAAAAAGGCAAAATCTGAATGAATTTATAAATATTAGAAGATTGATTTTTGAGAATGCTTACACATAGACTATGACAATAATGCAAGGTCGTGTATGTGTCAAAAACATAATTGGAATTGTTTAGATGATTATCAAAATCCAAAGGAATTAATAACTGAAACAAGAATGAAACTATATGGAGAATTTAAAAAATACATTGAATACTTGGATAAAAAAACAGGCACAAAATTCACATGGCCAATCATACACGTCTCTAAATTTGCCAAAAAAAAAAAACAACGCGAGGATTTAACTTTTATTTGCGATAAATGACTGCTATATTAAGATCCACAAAGTACCTTCAATTCAAAGTACCTTCTACTTTTCAAGGTGTTCATTCTTATTTTAAGGAAATTGAAGCACAAAATTGGCAACTAAAACATTATTTAAGTTTTCGCTTATCAAATGATATCATTATAATGCCGTGGTCAACTGTGGTCGTCGATTGGGAAAATTCATTATCAAGAATTTCGAAGAACAATACTAAACACTCATTGATCCCTAGTTCCATAACCACCTTTTGCTCAGAATTAATTAGTATAAAAAATTCATTTGAAGGAAAATCTGTTTTGGAGCATTGTAAAAATTTCTACGATGAGTTTTATGATAGGAATATTGATTTACAATTCTCAGAAAGAATTGAAAAATTAGAACGAACTATATTTTCATCAAACAAGGTCACTGAAGTATTACGAAAAGAAACCATAAATAAAAGAAATAACAAAGAAAATACAATCACAGAGAGAGAGAAAAGAACTCGTTATGAGGTTAGAATTTAAGTCCGCGTTTGTTGTTATCATGTTGATATATTATTCTATTCATTTTAACTCATTCTATTTGTTTATAATTTTTTGACAAGGATTCACCAACTCCCGTAAACATGGAATCAATGACAGAATCTTTTATCATATCACCTAATAAACCAACAATCTCAATGTCATTATATAAAGACTATTTTGCTCATATCATCTGTGCATTCAATGCAACAATGAAATATATTAAAAAATCACTTGATGAAAATACATATCAAGAAATTAGAGAAATTCAATCGAAAAATAAATTTATTCTGGAAAAAACCATAACAAAGAAGCTTGAAACAATATTTGAATCGGGTTATACGGAAATTGAAACAAAAATCCTTTCTGAAACAAATATTAGTGATAATACAGAAGAATCCAGATTTTTATTTTTCATACGACAATCATTATTAGACTTTGTTTACAATTTTAAATTTAGTACACCTAAGATGCTAGATCGAGATTTGCAAGAAAGATCATATATTGTCGAACTCTTAGCTCCAATATTTCGCGCTTTCCGAAATTCTTTTCCAAATATTAAATATCATTGGATTGAAAAATATGTGACTTCAATTAAAGATGTTAATAATATGTTTATGAATAACCTTGGGGAACGAAAAACAGACCTGCTTGTTCTTAGACAATCAGACGGAAGAGAAGTTTTGCTTATGGAGGTGTCTGGACCCCCCTTTAAAATCGATGAAAAACATACAGTTGGTGATGCAAAAAAGTTGCTAATAATGGCAATCTGCAGTTTGTGTCGAATATTTGGCGACAACCTAGATTGCAACATTGATGATGCTAAGAAAGTAAGAACATACAGTATTCAAGTGATTGGAAATCGCCTTACATTATTCGCTGTTTCACTTTTTGATAAGAAGAAGTATTTGGCTCTTGAACTGAGTTCATGTATAATTCCATTTGCGTTTGATGCTATCACATGTTACATGAAAATCTTCAATTTTTTTGCAATTATCCGAAACGAATTTGTAGAACAGGAAAAGTTGCAGAAAAAGATCCGATGTTTTATTCCAACTGACAATAAAACTGATTTACGTGAATGGTTACACTTACCAGATCTCAACTTGCAGCATGTGGCAGAAGAAGCATTAGATGAAATTCTTTTATGAATTAAATAATGATTTATGATATCGATATAATCTTTTTCGTATTAATAATCTGGTTTTAAATAAACAAATTTATCTTTTTATAATAAATTACATTTTTTTAGTATGCAAAATAAATATTTGAATTTTGTTATTTCCATAGAAGCTAACATCCATAGTGAAAAGGTTTATTTTTCCGTAAATTCCCTATGATAAAAAATTACTATTGTTTTCCATTTACTTTTTTTCATACTCTTTTTTAAAACACTTCTTTATTAATATAATAATAAATGCTTCAAATGTACACTAATAAGACCCAAATAAGCAATTCAATTTGTTTTTATTAAATTCAAGTTCCCTCCTTTCCCAAAAAGTTAACATTTTTCTGTTCCTCAAAATACTTCAAATACCATTCTCTCAACAAAATTATGTGAAATTTATAAGAAAATTTATATCGTCAAAAGACCATGGTTCCAAATGCTGAAAGATCAACTGGTTTCAAATGGCGTTTTCAACTGCCGATGTTACGAAAGATTTTCTTAAAACCCATAAAGTTCATGTTATTGATTAGTTCTCATTCTCTCCCAACATCAAACCAATTGAGAATTTATGGGTGGTCCTAAAGCTCTACGCGATCCAATTATTTCTATTAATTAAAAAACAATACAAAGTTGTTTTCTGCTTATTCATAAATACCGCCATTATTATCATTCAATATTTTTGATAAACATTTACGACTATTCGAAACGTTTACGTCTGTTTGAAACGTTTAGATCTATTACAGTTGTTCAAAAATTATCAAGACAGCTCGAACCAGCTTGGCTCGTGTAAAGCTTTAAGTGATCCTAAAGAAAAAAGTTGAAAAAAAGGTTAATATTCATATTATAAAAAAAAAATAATCACAGAAATAATCAGGCAAAAGTGAAACAACATTAATTCCCTTGATTTAGCAAGAAGCATGAATGGTTGTATTAATGAGCTAATTGCCAAAAACGGTGGGAAAATTGATCATTAGCTATTATGTAATCATTTTATCACACGTTTGGCTATGTTATTAAAAAAAAAAATTGTTAGACTTAAATAAAAAAAATTTCTCCATAATGAGTAAAATTTTGGATATCGAACTTACTCGTTTCCAATTTTTGCATACAATTAAACATTATTGATAGTAAGTTAGTGAATTTCAATTAAGAGATTTTAGATACAACATATGTTATTAAATATCTACCATTTTTTGCTCGCATAAATGATTCTGTCAAAGTGGTCTTCAATCTTCATCTTTTGTATCCATCATAATCTTTATATATTCTTGCAAATCGCCCGAGAAAGGAACATTTACATATAAAATTCCAACAATAGCAAATTCTGAGTATTAAAATCTAGAATATCCTTTGAGTTATATGTAAAAATGGTAAAATTCTAGCAAGAGGAAGCAGAGATTACCGGGAGATAACCTGGAAATTCATTAACTCATGACTTCACCGCCAAAGGTTGGCCTGTCGTGAAGTTATGGCGTCTCCTATGTACCTAAAGATACAAAGGGAAGCCCTTACCGCCAAAGGTTGGCCTGACATAAGAGACTTCAGCAAAGTCAATGAATCAACTGCCACCGCCAAAGGTTGGCCTGACATGAACAGTTGTTAACCCCAAGCAACTCATAACTTCACCGCCAAAGGTTGGCCTGTCGTGAAGTTATGGCGTCTCCTATGTATCTAAAGATACAAAGGGAAGTCCTTACCGCCAAAGGTTGGCCTGACATAAGGGACTTCAGCAAGGTTGCACATCCACTTGCTAGGACATCAATAAAAAAAAATTAAAAAAATGATTATAGTTGACTTTAGTAAACGTAATGAAGCAATCATAAGCTTAAATTATTTGAGTAGACTTACCCGAAATCTTTTAATATAAACATAGGAAAAGAAATATAGTTGGTGAATGTCATAGAACAGTATACTAAACATTCCTTTAATTCTTCCAATCTCGTTGTTCAGTGATAATAATAATTCATTTTATTTTTTTTTTGTGTTGATCAAAACTAATTTTTATTGGTTGTTTAGTAAGAAATTTAATGGTCATATCACATGAGAACCAATGATCCAACACGGCTTATTAGAATAGTGATTCAAATAATGGTATTTTAATATTCATAGCATAATAAAAATAACTCACTAATCAGTGATAAATTTTCTAAAGAAGAATTATTAGTTTGCATGTATTGTATCCACTGTGGAATCCTAAAATAAATAAATAAAAATATTAA